AACATCTGGAGAGACCCTTGACATTGGAAGAAATATGAACAACTTTATTACAAATGGAAGAAGACAAGACTCCAGGGATTGATGGTCTACCAAAAGAATTTTGGGAAACCGTGTGGTCCACCTTTTCCTTAGATTTAATGGAATTTTTTGATGAGGTTTATGAATCAGGGCGGATGGGAGAGATGGTGGGCCAAGGCATTCTCACTTTTTTACACAAGAAAGGCGATAAAACCAATATTAGGAATTATAGACCTATAACGTTGTTAACAGTAGTCTATAAGATATTGGCCAAAGCCCTGGCCAACCGTCTAATACCAATGATGGTGGACATCATCCACCCCTCTCAGACAGGCTTTATTAATGGAAAATACATCCAGGATAACATACTACTAATTAACGAAATGGTTAAGCTTTTGAGACAATCTAAACAAAATGCAACTTTTGTGTTTATAGATTTTGAGAAAGCTTATGACCATGTAAATTGGCGTTTTCTAGATGCATGTCTCCGAAAGATTAATTTTGGTCTTAGAATGAAAAGATGGGTGAATATTCTTCATTCTGATGCTACGACACGAGTCCAGATAAATGGGCTTCTCTCTCCAGAGATTCGCCTGCAAAGGTTAGTAAGACAAGGAGACCCTTAGCTCCATTTCTTTTTTTGATAATTATGGAAGCATTGGGGGCTAACCTCACAAATAATCATAATCTTAAACGTCTGCAAATTACAGGGATATCGGAAGAAGCAATACCCATTAGCTCCATGCTCGCAGATGATCTCACTATCATAATGAAAGCTACCATATCCAATATGAAAGAAATTAAGGTCTTATTGGACAAATTTTCTCAAGTATCTGATATGGTGGTCAAGTGGGGGAGTAAGACTCAAAGGTGGTGGAATACATTCCAATGGGGTGCGTCCTCCTGAGCTGCCTAGAGTTAGGTGGGTGCCTCTAGACGCTCCAATTTGGATCCTAGTCGCTTACAACATATGGAAAACCATTATTAATGATAATTGGATTACGGGGCCTGCAATGTCTAAAGTAAGTCAGTGGAAAAATCAACATACCTCTCTTTTTAAGAGGACTTTGATTATTAATAATTTTGTACTTGCTTCTATGTGGTATAAGTCGGCACTATGACCAGTAAGTCAATCACGCGCGAAAATCCTTCTAGGACAGGTATCTGCCTTTTTATGGAGAGGTAATCATGAGCAGGAAAATGTTATTCCAAGAGTAGCTTGGCACTCTCTTATACAACCTAAGTCAAGGGGAGGTTTAGGAGTGTTGGATCCCACACTCCAATGTCAAGCTCTTTCTCTTTAATGGATCATAAAACTAATTTTGGATGTGGGTAGTCCTTGGCAAGCCCTGGCCCTTGAGCAAATCAAAAGGTCAACTCCCTTGTCCACAGAGACTACTCACCCCCTAACATGGATCGAGGACCGTTTTTGGAGCATTACAAGAGCACGTGTTCAATCTAGAGAGGTAGGGATCCGAGGGGAAGCCCGGAACAATCTGATCCTTGACAATTTTTGGGTAGCCCTTCACAAAATTTGCCGCTACTTGTTGCTTCCTAATAAACCGTTTCCCTCTCGTTATGAGGAAGTGCTTCGGCAAACTCTTTTTGGGAATCGATGGATCATGGACCAAAATGGATGTATTTTTAATAGCTCAAATACACCTTGGACATTATGGGTGAAAAGGGGAGTAGTAAGAATAAAAGACATATGGGATACAGATAAGAAAGATTGGAAAACAGTGGATCAAATGAGAGAGACTCTCAGATATGCTCATCAACTCTTTGATTCATCGGATCATATTATTTTTTCTATTCCCTTTGCATGGGTACGCACATTAAGGAAAGACATCATTTTTAGGGAAGGAGATTGGGTGGTAGACGTATTAGACAATGATCAGAGGGAAGCAGGTCGGGTGATCCACACACGAGAAGATGGAGTATTGGTCAATCTTATGGTAATCAAGAGGGATCACTATCTTATTGCATCTTTTGGGAACAAAGTATCTTTCTTTCCGTTTGACCACAATTATAGGATACGAGTAATGTATGTATCCTCCATCAGAGGGTGGAAGGCGTTTCATCCTGAGCGACCCATTCCGGAACTTCCAATAGATTTAGATGAATGGGTCTGGAAGATTAGCAACAGAGCGGAACCCAGGCATCTTCATTCTCTGACAGTTGCGGCAATTTTGCATGAAAGATGGGTCAGGCATCTTAATATTGAAATAAATTCGATCAAACACATCAAATTTTTCAAAAATCTCAAACAACGGCCTGCTAAATTTGCCTCTTGACAATGGCAAATAGTACATCGGTGTTTGCCAACAAATGATTGGCTGATAGATCGTTCCACACTGGAACAGAGAGGACTGGCTACGCCATGGTGCAAATCCTGTCTTCTAGCTTTTCCTAGTAGAAAATTCAAAGAAACTATTGAATATATATTTATGCAATGTTCTGGATCAGTACTGCTATGGAGAAGATGGGATTGTATTTGGAGGGGTCTAACAGGAATTGATTGGCCCTGCGATTGGAAGCCATTCTCTTGGTCACTGGGTTCCCCAGGGATTGCAATTGTCTATCTTCCAACAATTGTTTTTCGAAATAGGTTGTAAGGCAATGCCACTATGGTATAAGCGTTGTGTCAAGGAGAGAGAGGGAGTGGGGCTGGAAGGAGCAGAATTAAGGGAAATTATTGTTAATTTTGTACAGAAAAAAATTAGATATCATTGGTCTACTCTCTCATCTAAACTAGGCAAATTCCAGCAGAAGAAAGATATTCAATATGCAATCCGGCAATTTGAAAAGGACTGGCTAGGGGGATCTGCAGGAAAGGGCTTGGGTGAAGTGATATGGCCAGGGGCGGAAGGCGATGAAGGATCCTTTAAAAGAGACTTTCAGCTCATGTTCCGGAACTGGTTCCAGCTTCAACCAGGAGTCTTGCTCAGATCTCCAAGTTTTTTTCTCAGACCCATTCGCCCTTTTGCATTAGCTCTAGTTGAATCACAGTGGTATGGCAGAGGGGGGATTTAAATATCGGAAGGAAAGATGCTTATATGTTATTTCCAGATCTGGCGGTCGTGATGGACTGAAGAGGTGTTTTTTCTTCATTTTGATAGTACTCTTATCTTCAAAAAAAATTCATATGTAATTAAGGGTTGCTGGAACCGATTTCCAGCAGGTGCAGCTCCCCACCAATAGATGGAGTGACCAAGCAGACCTCGTAGGAGGGGATGGGGTGGGGCGGGAATGGGTCCAGGAAATCAGATGGGGGCCTCATCGGGAAAGCCGGGTCAATATGGGTCCAGTCATTGAAGACGAGTTTGTAATCTCTCAGAATTTCTTGATCTGTCGCAACGGCCTGATCCCATGACCACTCGATTTGAGCCAACCATCCCCCCCGTTGCCCACCCGGCCACTCCATCCAGAATCCCGAAATCACCCTTTTAATATTACGGGCTGTCGGAAAATTGTCTAATTGCTGCTTAAGGTCGCCCCATCTACGCATCAGCTGCAGTTGCTCTAGCTCCCTTATCTGTTCTGTCAGTTCAGGGCATGGCTACGCCGGACCCGGACCCGGACATTTCCGGACATGGAACCGGACCCGTGTCCGGTAGTTTCCGGACGTTCGGAATTCCGGACATTTCCGGACATGGAACCGGACCCGTGTCCGGTAGTTTCCGGACGTTCGGAATTCCGGACATTTCCGGACCTCCGGACATGGGGGGATCCGGACGGTCCGGAGGTCTGGACAGGTCCAGAAATGTGCGGACCATTAAAAAAAAAAAAAAAAAAATCTGAAAAAAAAGTATGTTATGCAGAATAACAATGCAAACCACTTTTGCCTCAGAGTCATGTCAGAATTCCTAACCAAACTTGAGTTAAAAGTCAAAAACTATAAAAAGCTTAATAAAAGGTAATGAATTATTAATAATTAAAAAATTGGGGTTGTCTAATAACTGTCTCTTATACACATCTAGATGTGTATAAGAGACAGGTCCTGGTTTTTTTTTTTTTTTTTTTTCCTCTAAATTTGCCAGATCCGGACCTTCCAGACCGGACGTCTGGATTCCGGACTGAATCCAGACCGTCCGGACGGCGGTCCGGACGTCCGGATCGTAGCCATGGTTCAGGGCCTTCGATCTTTACCCCCTCGAAAACAATAAGGCAGCGTTGCCACCAAAGCGCCCATAAGACCAACCCTCTACCCAAGCTGTTAGATTGCTCACGTAGGGAGGGGCACTTTCTATTGCCGAGCAGTGCCCTACCAGTATGGCTTGCCAAGACCATGGCCAGGGGGTGTCCGCTATCACTTGTCGCCGCCATGTCAACAAGGCCACTGGGCACTGCATGAAAATGTGTTCAATAGTTTCATTCCTATTTTGCGGTGGGAAGGCGGCCAGACATCGGTGAATCACAGGTGTGCTATCCGTTTTTGTTCCAAATGGGTATGGTCAACTAGCCAGGCATTCATCGGCAAACAGCGATGAGTGATCTGCCATTGCAAAGATGTGACTTTTGCCAGCCTTGCTTTACTTTCGTTAAACCACGTAATGGGTGTGAGGAGGGACCGATCCACGTTCAGGTGTTTAGCCCCTCTGTCAATTATCAGATCTCTCAATATTCTTTTGGGTCTAAGCATCCTATACATGGATCTGACCGAAAGTGTGTTTAGGTGGACTCTTTTACCGGTCGCCACTGCTACCCGCCGGGCCGTTTGCCATTGCCAATCTTCAGGGTCGATAGGCAGCTCGTGTATCGATGTATGTGGGAGAAAGACTGTGGAGTGGGAGGCCAGAATTGCGGATATAGCATAGTCTTCTATATTTTTTATATACAAATCATCATCATCATTAGTATCATTATCTCACAGTTTACATAGAATCAGCAGAAGTTCATCATCATCATCAGGATTATCATCCTCATCATCTTATCAGGGACACTGATCCCGGTTCTCAGCATGTTCCGTTCAGTCACTCCGGGTATACTGTGAGGAACCTGACCTCAATCTTCTTATTGGTAATATCAGCCTTGGGCACTGGGCCCGTTTAAAATTAAGAAAGAAAAAATAAAAATAAAAATGGTTGCATCCTGCTGTGTCTCTGCCTGAAGATTGCTAAAGCTGAGTGTTTGCAGTCCATGTCACAAAATATCAGAGAGATGTAAGAATCTCACAAATCTTGCAATGCTTATGTATGGCTTTGGGATGTCATGTGCAGGTTTCTGTTGTCCATGTCAGTGATCACTTGGCCATTTGTAATACTCACAGTAGTAATGGACAGCATAGCTCTGGTCAAGGGAGGAAGCTTATTTCAGGCCAACATCTTAAATATCATTTTACCAGTGATGACTTGTATTCACACTGTAAGTATCACTTTACCTATATTCTCAGATTAAGGACTCCCGACACAAAGATAACCCATTGCAAGTAGTCAAGCCAGTCAAAACAACCAATTGTACTTGTTACTATTTCAAAGTCTGTGTTCCTCCTGTAGGCTGTTGCCATCCATCCTTTTAAGTCACCCCTTCCTCCCCCAAACAGACACACACACACACACACACACACACACACACACACACACACACACACACACACACACACACACACACACACACACACATCCGGCTGATTCTACCACAAACAGTGAAATGACCTCTGCACAGGATGATGTGCGAGGCATAAGGCCCCTATGAGCCGCCTTTTCCCTTGTTAGCAGCACAGTTGGCCGCCCTCAGTGAAGGCAGGCCCGACGGAGGCCAAGAGGCTTATTTTTCGGCTACCATGCAACTGGGGAACTTCAGGCAGTTGCGCAGCGCCAGTTGGTTGAGAGCGCCCAGGCCCTGGCTGCCTTTCTCATACGTAACTGAGGCAGGCCCTGGGCCAGATACACAACAAGGGACGAACACAGGTTGGGCACAGGCAACCGCGACAGGCCCTGGGCCTGAGTCGGGGCTCAGCCTCTCGTGGCCTACCGGAAGCTTCTGGGCAGGGGCACAGCACAGCCAGGTCACACGCAGCAGGCAGGCCACTTCCATTTAAGAAAGTGCCTGCCCTCGCATTTGGCATTCGGGCACTGGCTGCATGCTGCGCAAGCGCTGCTGCGCTAAACGCTGGCCAGCTCTCACGCGCTCACGGGCGAGCTGGATGAGCAGGCAGCCATAGCCGAGCTGCGCTGCACTATGGTGGATCGGGAGCATGGTGGTCCTTGGGTGCATGTGGCATCTGTGAGTGGGGGATCGAGGTTGTGAGTGATACGAGAGACATACCTGGTGCTTGAGGCGAACGGCGTTGTCCGAGATTTGATCGTACTTCGGGGAGCTGTTAACGTCACCAGCGGCATTGTAGATAGGCTAGATAGGATCTCCCATTTGTAGTCTGGGCGCAGAGCGCCAGATAGGATGTCGACATTGATTCTTTGTTGATAATGATGAGACTATTCCAACATTGTCACTTGTGAGCTTTTGCTGTGCTCTTATTCGGTTGAACTCGTGTTGCAATTCTGCTTCTGATTCGAGGTCACGACCATCTGGTTTCTTGTGTATGATGCTGCTTGGTTTTCGGAGTTCGCTATCGCTCATTTGCCTTGCAGCTGGCTGTGCCCTCCCGTTGTGTCGTCGCACAGGTGCAGTTGGTTGGCATGTACACGACATAGCCTATGCTCCGAACACTATGAAGGGATGGTCGATGCTAGCCTCTCACACGAACACTGTGATCCCCTGTCCTGTACTCATCGCCCCCACCCCCTGATTACTTGTCCAGCATGCCCTTGTGGCCTTGATCTGTCATGCTTAAATAACTGTGCACGTCAGCCTTCCATACTAATGACATGTCAGCAACATACCATGTGTCGTCAATGCTTCCAGGAAGCTGTCATAGAAAGTATGTGTCTTTACTGCGTGGACTATCCCTGGTGCCATCACCCTCCACATCCTTTTTTAGCATGTCCCACATGCGGTGTTGGTCATACACCCACGGCAACCGCTGACGGATCTCCCTCTTTCTTGCCAGACGAACGACGAACACAGCAGTCCGAGGAGGAAAGTAGACTTCTATATGAACCACCGGAAGAGCGATGTGCTCATAGTTTATCACCACCAGGGCGAGCTGTTGCAGATCATATCCTGCAGCAGCTGAACGCCCTTGCGTTGGACCGATTCTCCCTGTCGTCGTCTGCCCATAGAGAAGGAATACATACTGAGGAAGCCCAAGAAAGATGCTCCGTGCCGTTTTGTGATGACCCACCGGAGATTCAACTAGCATGTGGTTCGCATGCCTTGTGCCGTGAGGATTATGAAAGGATAGTCCATGCGAGTTTTTGCTTCCAGACGTRCGATGACAGTCAGTACTGTACTCATGTACGGCACCCCGACATGTCATCCAATTTGTAGACAGGGGCTGGAACGACAATGCCTTTATAATTGCGGTCGATGTGCCTCTGTGTTCCTAGCATGTATGAGCCACGTAGCCTGTGACATCTGTCTGCGCCGTGCCATTTGATGCAGCAACTGTGACTGCGAAAATTGGATGCGGTGCTTCCATAGCCCACATCCGAACCGGTCCTGTGCGGGCTGTAGGGGTGGCCACTCGTCGTAGTTTTTTTTTTTTTTTTTTTTTTTTTTTTTT